GGGCCGAGGGGTCTTGGGGCAAAGGAAGCACTGAGAGGGCAAGGGGGACCTGGGAGGGGGCACAGGGACACAGAGAGGGGGCCTGAGAGGAGGGGGAGACCTGAGAGGGAAGAGGGGTACTGAGGGGCCAAGGGGGTCCTGGGGCAGAGAAAGAACCTGAGGGGCAGAGGAAGCCCTGGAGCAGAGGGGGCCTGGGGCAGGTGGACCCTGGCCGGGAGCCTGGGCTGGGCCCCAGAAGGGTGGCCGTGAGCACCAGGCATACCCACCATGGAGCCACTCCCCAGGTCTCAGGGGTCTGGTACCTCATCTCCATGGCTTCAAGCGACCTGAAGCGGATTGAGAAAGACGGTGACCTGAGGGTCTTCATCAGGAACATCCAGTATCTGCAGAACGGCAGCCTGATGTTCGACTTCCGCTTCGTGTACGTGTTGCCTGAGCTCACTGGAGCTGGGGCGTGCCTGCCCCACCCGCCTCACTAGCACCTGCACTCTCTCTAGCTCCCATGCCCATGGTGCCCAGGGTAGTGGGATTCCCTGGGCGGGAGCTGGGTCAGCCTGGCGCTGCCCTCCTCCCTGCAAAATGCAGGTGCACCCGTGCCCCTTCTGGTGGGTAAGGATTCAGGAGACTGGGATGTCAGGCCAGAGGACACGGCCCATGGAGTGGGGCCCGGCGCCAGGTCAGGAATCCTGTGCCGGGACCCTGCTGCAGGTGTCACCCCTCCCCCACTGCCGGCTTCCAGGGTGCAGGGGGCGTGCGAGGAGGTGGTGGTGGTCTGTGAGAAGACAGACAGGAACGGCGAGTTCTCCATCTCCTGTGAGTGGAAGCTGGTCCCCTTGTCCCACAGTCAGGGCTCCTCCCCGGGGTCTGGACCACTCGTCAGCAGGGGATCCCCAACGGCCTGTCTACAGGTCAAGATCATTGGCCTGGCACCAGCTTCAGGGGCTCCTGGACTGGGGAGGCAGGTGCACTGTGCCGGGCTCTGGGCAGCGAGCCCATCCAGGGCTGTCACATCCCAGGGCCATTGAGGTCCACAGCCAACAGGGGCCATGATGCCACCACTGCCTGTGCCCTCCGCAGGGGTCTTGCCTGAACAGCACCTAGGGCCAAGCCTTCCCTCCACCCACTGAAGAGCCTCTTGCGTCCTCGCCCATGGCCACATGACCTGCCTATTATGGACCCCAGGGGCAGGGTTGTGGCCAATCTGCTGAGCCGTGTCTCCACGCAGATGAGGGGAAGAACAAGGTCACAGTCTTGGAAACCGACTATTGGAACTACATCACCTTCTACCTCCAGAACATCAAGAACAAGACTGAGACCCGCGTGCTGGCCCTCTTCGGTACCCCGCCTCTGTCTGTCTGAGGAGAACAGCCTGGCCCCCTCAGAGACCCTCCTCCAGTGGCAGGCCCACCCCTGAGTGGGGGTCACCACTGTCCCGAGGTTTGGGGAGGGTGTCCCCACCCATTGCTTCTACCTATAGACACAACCCTGCCCCTGGGGTCCATAATAGGCAGGTCATGTCATGTATTTCACGCCCATCCCACCTGGCACAGGCCTCCTCTCTGGTCAGGGCATGCCCGCCCCCACCCCCAGCCTCAGCACCACCCGGATCACCCCCATGAGGGTCTCCCCCGACATAGTCCCAAATCTGTCTCCAGGACGGATCCCACAACTGAGCCCCACCTTTCTGGAACAGTTTAAAAAAACCTGCAAAAAATACAAGCTGGACTCCCAAAACATCATCGAAATGAGCAGGCAGGGTAGGTCCTGCTATATCTG